GGAAGGACAGAACTGGTTGTGCTGGTGGGGGAGTGGCACTATATGTGAAAGAAAGCATAGAATCAAATGAAGTAAAAATCTTAAATGAACCAAACTGTACCATAGAATCTCTATGGATAGTAATTCAATGCTCTAATAGTAAGAATATAGCAGTAGGGATATATTACTGACCACTTGACCAGGATGGTGATAGTGACTGTGAAATGCTCAAGGAGATTAGAGAGGCTATTAAAATAAACTCAATAATAATGGGGGATTTCAACTATCTCCATATTGACTGGGTACGTGTCACTCAGGACTGGATACAGAGAGAGTTTCTTGACCCCTTAAATGACTGCCTCTTGGAGCAGCTAGTCCTGGAACACACAAGAGGAGAGGCAATTTTTGATTTAGTTCTAAGTGGAGCACAGGATCTGCTCCAAGAGGTGAATATAGCTGGACCCCTGGGTAATAGTGACCATAATATAATTAAATTTAACATCCCTATGGTGGGGAAAACACCACAGCAGCCCAACACTGTAGCATTTAATTTCAGAAAAGGGAACTACACAAAAATGAGGAGGTTAATTATACAGAAATTAAAAAGTACAGCGCCAAAAGAAAATCCCTGCAAGCTGCATGGAAAGTTTTTAAAGACACCATAATAGAGGCTCAACTTAAATGTATACCCCAAATTAAAAAAATAGTAAGAGAACCAAAAAAGAGCTACCATGGCTAAACAACAAAGTAAAAAAAGCAGTGAGAGGCAAAAAGGTATACTTTTAAAAAATGGAAGTTAAATCCTAGTGAGGAAAATAGAAAGGAGCATAAACTCTAGCAAATGAAGTGTAAAAATATAATTAGGAAGGCCAAAAAAAGAATTTGAAGAACAGCTAGCCAAAGACTCAAAAAGTAATAGCAAACTTTTTTTTTAAGTACATCAGAAGCAGGAAGCCTGCTAAACAACTAGTGGGGCCACTGGACGATTGAGGTGCTAAAGGAGCACTCAAGGACAATAAGGCCATTGCAGAGAAACTAAATGAATTCTTTGCATCGGTGTTCACAGCTGAGGATGTGAGGGAGTTTCCCAAACCTGAGCCATTCTTTTTAGGTGACAAATATGAGGAACTATCCCAGATTGAGTGTCATTACAGGAGGTTTTGGGACAAATTGATAAACTAAACAGTAATAAGTCACCAGGACCGATGGTATTCACCCAAGAGTTCTGAAGGAACTCAAATGTGAAATTGCAGAACTACTAACTGTAGTCTGTAACCTATCATTTAAATCCGCTTCTGTACCAAATAACTGGAGCATAGCTAATGTGATGCCAATTTTTAAAAAGGGGTCCCAAGGTGATCCCGGCAATTACAGGTCGGTAAGCCTGTCTTCAATACCGGGCAACCTGGTTGAAACTATAGTAAAGAACAAAATTGGCAGACGCACAGATGAACATAATTTGTTGGGGAAGAGTCAACATGTTTTTTGTAAACAGAAATCATGCCTCACCAATCTACTAGAATTCTTTAAGGGGTCAACAAGCATGTGGACATGAGGGATGTCATAGGATATTTACTCCTTCTCATAACAAAAGAACTGGAGGTAACCAAATGAAATTAATAGGCAACAGGTTTAAAAGAAACAAGAGGAAGGATTTCTTTACACAACGCACAGTCAACCTGTGGAACTCTTTATCAGAGGATGTTGTGAAGGCCAAGACTATAACAGGATTTAAAAAAAAATAGATTCATGGAGGATAGGTCCATCAATGGCTATTAGCCAGGATAGGCAGGGATGGTGTCTCTAGCCTCTGTTTGCCAGAAGCTGGGAATGAGCGGCGGATGAATACCTGTTCTGTTCATTCCCTCTGGGGCACCTGGCATTGACAATTGCCAGAAGACAGAATACTGGGCTAGATGGACCTTTGGTCAGACCCAGTATGGCCGCTCTTACGTTTAACTTTAGTAGAATTCTGACTTCAATTGAATGGTGGTTTTTTTAGTCCACACAATACTTTCAAAGTACCTTTTTTTTTACCCTTCTTAAACTTAATTTGTACCCAGTTTTGGGGAAGAGGTTGGTGGTTTTGTGTGTGTGCGAGCGCACAGTATTTTAGGGGAAAAAAGTAACTTCCAGTTGAAAATATTTTTGATTTTACTCAATGAACGTCCACGCCTAACTACTGCTAGAAGTGTCCGCTGCAAAGCAGTGCATTTGCTAATCATGCAAGTGACTTGCATTCTATATCCATATTGATATTATCTAGCAGTCTGTAGTTCTACACTAGGGTATTTCTGTGACATTTCTACTTTTTTCAAAAGGAAAAAATCCATCCACATCCCTCATGAAATAACAAAATGCAAACTTAGCTTAAAGGAGAAGCTTAAGTCTCTGTCCTAGTTGATGTTTTGTTTGCTGGTGGAATCTGTGATCTGGCTAGTTACTTTGATCGTATGAGTAAAATGAATCTTGACTGCTAATGTCAAGATACTTGTAAGTACAGAGGAACAACTCTGACGTATTTGGTCAGACGGTTAAAACTCTTAACAGAATTTTTTTTTAACATAATTTAAATGCAGTAAGCAGGGATATCTAAATTTAGCAAAAATGCTTTCTATTGGAGAGATTGAAGAAGCACGTAGTACTTCAAAATGTATATATTGCTGCTCATGTTTCCTAAAACTAGTGGGCAGAAAGATCCAATTCCTGAATGGCTTTGTCTCACATGTAATATCTGTCTGATTTCAGTGGTGATTCAAAAGCTCTGGGATATCAATTGAATATAAAAATCTTACGGGGAAAGACTTTGTGCATGAGATTTCTCATTTCTTCATTGTGGGCACTAGAAATCTGAACTTTTCTGCTGGGGACTTGGCTGTCACTTTGTGCTAACAGTGAATGAGCATGACTTTCCATAACTGAAACAAGGTAGGAACAGCCAAAAGGCCAATCCAGAGTATAACTTTCAAAGCAATACTTTTGCTTCTCTATCCCTTTCCCCGCACCGAACACTTCATTGGCTCCAATCCAAGGAGGGCTGTATGCAGCTATTCTTGAAGTAGTTAACACTGTTCCTGAAATTGTCAGAAGAGTTGATTAAGAGAAATCTCCCTTCCTATACTACCAAGGCCTAAGCATGCTGTTTGTGACCTCTCTTGGCCTAGGATTGAAGAACCAACCTGGTGTCTCTAATTGATTTCTTTCTTCTCTGACCCCCCAGCAGATGGTAATGCACATGCTATTGCTAGACTGCCAGCTCAGCTTTTAGGTCGAAGGACAACATAATGCACTCAACCTGATTTTTCCTTTTGCAGGAAGAAGAGATGCCAGATGTAGAAATTGACATTGATGACCTTCTTGATGCAACTAATGAAGAGGAGAGAGCTATCAAATTACAGGTAAAATATTTTTCCTAAAGTAAACTTGAACATGGCTGACTTAACATATCAGAGTCACTATATCTTAATTCTGAATGACTCCGCTCTGGTGGTAGCCTTAGAATGAGTATTTCCTAAATTTGAGAAAAGGGAATTTAATGTAACCTATCTAGGACTACTGTCTGAATGTAAAGAGATTCCCTAGCATTATGAGGAAACTCCTTGAATGAGGATGACAATAGTAAAAATTCAAGGTCCAGTACACCAGTGAGAGGGATAATTATTCTGAGAAGTAGTAGAGCACCTTTAAGTTTTCTCCAAGTGTCATTCGTATTATAAAATATGAAGAGGAAAAACCCATGAGTAACTTTAAGAACCTCAGAAATCAGTGGATCTTCTGGTCATGACAGTGTTGGTCTTCATTACATTACTAATCTTTTCCTAGCCATGAAGAAATAACTACAACTTCGGTTGAAATGTGCAATTTTTTGAGTGTAAAAGCATAACCCATTGGTTGCCATTCAGGGCTCTATCTAAAAATGTGGGGAAAAGATCAAGATAGTCAACAACAAGAATTAACAGAACAGGGAAATCCAAAGTATCTCAGCTGAATTAGGCAATTACAGTAGACTTGTTCTAATTCCATAATCTTGTTTGAGGTAAATGTTAATGAAATGGAATGGGGGAGGGAAGAGTGGGGAGAAAGGAAGAATAATTGTGTGTCTGGAAATGACACTTCAAGCCAATGAGGGACTTGCCATAAAATGGGTAATAGTTAAGATATATGAGAGGAAATGAAACAAGATCTAGTATACAGACATTCATCCCAGCTCACATGTTAAGAACCCAATTAGTGATGCCCTAGTGAAAAGTTCCCAGTAAAAAGTTACTTGACTCTTGGGGTGTGTTGGGGGTAGTGTTTGTATGTATGAAATCTTAGCTTCTCCTCCTCTCTCCCATCTCCTTGGAGATGTAAAAATTGGGATTTTTAATGTAGAATTCCTTTTTAAGGAAGCTGCTACTACTTCCCCACTGAACCCAGTGGTGTAGTCCCTTTCTGATATAGATACTTTGCTCCACCTATGCTGCTACACTCTGGGTAGAGTTGTTATTGAAAGTAAAGATTGCACATCTCTCCTCTGTAAATTAAATGAAAACTAATAGACGTAGCTTGATTATATATGGGAAAAACACTATGAAAGTGTGATAGTCTAAGATTATAGATTTGTTTTTACGTTGCAAAACTGACATGACTTAATACAGAAACTGACACTTCTTTCATGTTTTACTTCTAGGAAGCTCTTGTAGATTGCTACAAACCAACAGAGGTAAAGTACCCCTTTTCTTGAATACCATTTTTCCCTGTTAAAAACAGTGTAGTCATACTATTGCTAAAAATAGGGGAATGCTGATTGGAGTTGAAGGGGTCTGAACATTTCAGGCCCAACAGTCTCCCCTTGAATGCTGGAGTTCTGTTATTTGACTTGAGCAGGATTGGGCTCTTGGGAAGAAAGTTGATTATTCTTATCTAAGTGTTAGGGTTCTGATTTCTGATGCAGTAGTGTTACTTGTCCTTCTCTAATTCTTTGGTTTCCTTCAGTAATACCTAAATCAAGATGTGAAGCTCAGATGTGGAGAAGTGAACAAATGGAATTACTTCATCTGAAATGATAAAAATCTAACTGAACGAATGACTATATTTGCATAACATTGTTTCAACCTATTAAATGTATTGTATGGTCTCCTAAGCAAGACCATTAGACTCTTTGTCTTTTTTAGCTTATCTTTTGGGAGAGACTTGCATCTTATTAGACAGACATTTGGTTGAGCTGCATGTGTCAAGCCACCTTATAAATGGATACAAATACAATCAGGGTGACCAGATGTTCCGATTTTATAGGGACAGTCCTGATATTCGGGGTTTTTTTCTTATATGGGCATCTATTACCCCCCACCTCTGTCCCGATTTTCTATACTTGCTGTCTGGTCACCCTAAATACAATACAGTGGAATGATTAAGCCAACAGACTTCTATTAAGTGGATATTTGGATCAAAGTTTAATATTTTAATGGAAAATAGTTGTATGCACCTATACCACTTTTAATATATACAATTGCACATGTTTACTAGGAAGAGTGAACCTGGTGAGCTAACGGATATTTTGGCTTTATGCATAAAACCGCAATAGTTGAAGTACTAAAATGCATGATCGAAGCTTTTAGGTTACTGAACAGTTTATTTAAAATAAAGCGGTCCCCATTATAAAAATCAATACTTTCTGAACAAATGCCAAATACTGGTATCTAAGATACTGCAGTTGTGGGTGGGGAATGCATGGTAGCTTGGATTCCACTATTTGGTAACTGCTGTAGTCAAGCAGTGCTTGACAGGGGGGGGTGCCGTTATTAAACGAGGCTGTGGGCAACATGGTTCTGCTTCAAGGGAGAACAGGGCTGAAATGGTTGTAATCTGAGCTGCTTTCTTTAAGGTAGAATACTGAAGCAATCTGTCAGGCAAAACCTCTGTCATGGTTGAAAGGACAATTCTTTGTCTATTTCTGCCTTAAATTCTTATGGAACCTTATACTGGAGAAGTCTGTTTATGACCAACTGCTGCAGCCATGGCCAACGAAGTCTTTTGTTTGTGATGATGGAAATGTTGCTCAGAAAGGCTTGGATACTAATGCTTGTATAGCTTATTCTTCAGTGTGATGGAAATGGTAGACGTGATACGTTGCTGGGATTCCTCCAGAGATACCAGGCTAAAAGGCCAAGTCTTTCTGATGTGTCTCTCAGTAGTTGTGCTACGTTTGAGATGACCCAGTCAACATATTCCAGCAAAGGCCATTGAACTTGAATTATTTTTCATGCTATTGGTCTGGATGACTGATCTGGTGTCAGGAACCTGACGTTGCTGATGTCTCTTGGCCTCTGAGGTGGGGGAGGTGGAGAGAGGAAGAGTGAAGAGATGCAGAACAGGATGCTAATAGCTCAAGTGGACTTATCGAGATTGGCTCTGAATGTGTCTTTTTTGTTTTAATCTTGCAAGATTACCCCATTCTCCCAACTAGATAAATGTGTGAGGATGGCTTTTTTGGGAGCAAAGGGTAGGGCAAGAGGGCTAACTAATAATTAAAAAATTAGTTTAAACTAAAATTGTTTTGCTTAAAAATCTGTTCATTATACCAAAATTCTGTCTAGTTTTTCTTGAGACAGATTCAAATTTTATTTTTTTATCTTAAATATACACATGACACTTGAGAATGACGTGGTGTTCGGTGTTTAACATAATTTTAGAAAATATCTGTATGCGTGAAGGAATGCACTTACAGTAATAAAGACAGGGTTAATTGGTATGGCAGCTTAAATGGAATAGTACATAGATTTGTGTGTGCACTAATGTTAAACCCACTAATGTTAAACTGAAAGCGAAGAGCCAAAGTTTGAAGGCACTATGATAGGGGATTAGATGTTAGTATTCTAATTTCTTGGTCCTTGACTCATGTGCCAGTGAAGTGGAGGCAATGCTCTTACCTTGAAGAGTCTCCTCTCACTCCCTTGGTGACCCTTTGAGCTGGCATGGGAGTAGAATTGACAGACTGCAGTGAGCAGTGTCTCTTCTTCCTCTGCCGGTGGGGTAATCTGCCCAGTTTGTGGTTGAGAAGGGGAAAAGAAAAAAATACCTGAGACATGGAAGAAAAAAATACCAACTATATAGAAAGTGTGTGTGTGTGTGTGTGTGTGTGTATCTGGCTGTTTATCACACTAGCATGTGAATTATTTCTATAAGAGCAAGAGGGTGTGTGTGTGTGCGCACGTGGAGAAAAGTGTAGTGTGTGGCATTTCTCCTTCTAAGGAGCTGTAACAAAAACATGGTAAGTTCTATTTCTGGCAAGGACTTAACGTTTAAAGATCTACCACCTGAAAAATGCTTGTGATCCTGAGTTCTAAGTAGAAAAAATTAATGTAGTATGAAATCTGCAATTGTACAGCACATGAAAGGAAAGCCAGTAAAATCAAAGTTTAGTAACTTGAAGCTACATTATATGGATAAGGTATCATTTTTGCAGATTGGTCATCTGAAGTCAGTTCTACTTAGTTTCCTCAACTCTCTTAGGAGGCGGAAGGTTAAGGAAAGTTTCAGGAGTTACTTTTGTGCATTTATACTCAATGGCTTTTCCGATCCGAAGAAACAGAATTATTTAGGTCACTCAGCAGGTGGCAGGTTTTAAGGTTTTCTCTTTTAAATTATCCAAAATAATAATAGGCACTAATTTATGAGTGTTTATCTTTCTTCAAAGTAAAATACAGCTAGACTCCTGAGCATACGCAGTTATTCTAAAAGCTTAGGTTGTGTAAGACAGCAATTGCTGCTACTTTCACCTGAACGAAACATGTTTAAAGCTGGCATATTGCAGTAAATTATCATTTTCATAACTTTATAAACTTAATTATTCAAATAAAGAAATATCAGTCATTCAATAGTCTCAAATCATTTTGATTAAGAAGGTATTATGGATTATAGTTGGGCTTGCATCTAAAATAAGACCCACTGACTAAAAGCTATTTAAATATATTCAGTGTAACATCTTAATCAGGAAAAATGTGTAATGTGACTGATATGTCCCCTAATCTCAGAAGCAAGTTTGGCCATGTGTGCCAGGAACTAAAAATGTCTTCTGGCCATATGATGCCAACTTCACTGTGTTTCTATAAAGCAATGGCTAAGAGGCACACTTTGCAAGCTACTGTTAGATCTTAAAGTATAAATAATAAAGGCCTGCTTCCTTAATGTGATTAGGTCACACCTGCTGAAGAGAAACTGAGATACCTCTAGAAAACCCAGGCTTGGGAAGAGAATACAAGTTTAAAGAAAAGCCTCCAAGTCTGGTATGCAAACTGAATTTTTCAAACTTGGGCAAGACTTTGAATTGTATTGCTGAAGTCTTTCCATCACCTAAGAGTGGATACTCCTTTCATTATACACGGTTCAAAAATCGGGGATCCTTCTGTGACAGAATGAATATTTTGGAAGACTACTGTAGCTCCTTTTTTTAGATGGACGGAGAAACTTAAAGAGCATTTTAAGTCTCATCTGCAAAATAACTGCCATGAAGAGGTGAGGGTCCATGTTTTCTTTACCCATGAGGGTCACTTAATAAATTTTCATGTTCCAGTTGATTTTAATATTTATGTATTCTGCAAGAACTTGAGCTTCTGTGCTCAAAACAGCTAGCCATTCTCAGAAAAGAATACCATCCCTATACTCTAGCGTTTGGAAGAAGCATGGCCTTTCTGCACTGTTTTGGGAGTGAGAAGATGAAGACAGATCTGGGGCAAGTCAATATTTCTGTTCCTCAAATTCCCTGTCTGTGGGGATGCTTACCCTGAACCACAGGGGGTGTTTGTGGTGATAAATTAATGTTTGTAGCACTCATGTTGCAGTGATAAGCACCATAGAAAAGCCTCTGGGTATTGTCACCTGTCAAGGAGGACACTAGAACTTTTTTGACAATCTATTGAAAATTGAATATTAAAGAACTGTTGTGGACCTGAAAAGAATGAGTTTTTTATTAAGGCATCTATTTTGAAGAAGTTGAGGACTCTGTCTGTATTAACTTTTGAGAATCTGCTACTGGTGCAGCTCTACCATTGGTAGCAATACTGAGAATGCTACTATTAGAGGAAGTCTAAGAAACCTCTGGCTGGTCTACATTAGTGCTCGCGCTGGTGGGGCTGCCACAGTGACTAGCACAATGGTAGGAGATTTCCTGTTGTAAACAAGGCCAATGAGGTTGGTAATTCTGATAATTCATGTCTAGGCTGTCTCTGACTGAGGTGGTGAGTATGTGTACACATACCAGAGATAGAAAACTTCAGTTTCTCTTGAAATTGTTTTTGACAAAATGCTAGAAAACTTGTCTTTTTACTTTTCCTTTTACCCTTTATTTTCCACTGAGAAAAGGGAGGAAGGGAAGAAAAGCAGGGGGAAACCAAAAGCACTGAGTGGAAACATACAAAAAAAAAAAAACCAAAAAACTTCTCACTGGAAACATTGAGAATTATTGGCATTTTTAAACCAGTCAAACAGTGTCTAATGGCAAAGGTGCAATTGCCCCTTCACTGCAGCTCTTGGGCAGGAAATTATGTGCTTAACAACATCCTATATCCATGAGTGGAGTCAGCAAAAGAAAGTACAGGACTCTATTACTTAAGTGACTTAGTCAGTACCCCCTGGCTACTTGAACAGTTAGAGCATTTCAGAAATTTTCAGTCCTGCATTGGGAAGAATGCATTTGAGCTGGCATTTCCCTACAGATCTATTTTTCCAAGTTTAATTTCTAACTAGAAGAAATGATAGCTTTGTAACAAAGCTTTTGGACTACGGTTTGGGCCAAGTGTTTGGGCATGCCTCACACAATGCACATATTGTGCAGTTTACTCTACAGATGTGTCCAGCAAGTTCAATTTCAAACTAGAAGTTTACAACCTCAAAGCCAAAAAATCATAAATTTGCTGCAGCCTTGAAGTTTTGAACTTGTTACTGTTGTTTCATCTTTAATCACAAGGTTGTAATATTTACTGTTCAAAACCAAGTAGGAAACTAAACACCAAAGAAATGCACCTTTTACAAGAGAGGAAATGCAGTAATCCAGAGTATAGAGAACATAGGGGCAGTTCTTCAGATGGTACATAAATTCTTAGCTCCATTGAAGTAAATGGAGCTATGGCAGTTTGCAGTGGCCGAGGATCTGCTTCATATTGTACAGTGACACTGGAGAGCACTAGATTTGCACTCTTTTAATACCACAAACATAAGCAAAGGACCAGAAATGTGTTTCCATTGTAGTGGTGATGGTGCACTGTGTGGGGGAGAAGAAACAGCAGTGCCTGTGAATAGTTCAGAAGGTGTGGGAATACTCAGGGTATACCTTGCGCAAGCCACTGGCTAAATGCCACAATAGAGATGGGAAAGGTCAGTCCCAATGAAGTGGCACTATCCCCTGGACAACTTGGAGGAAGGGATTATGTCTCCGTGAGCAGCTTAGTGTGCAAGAGGACTGCTATCCACTCACACTTCGGACCAATATAGATTGGGGAGAGAAAGTAGACCCATTGCTCCACCTCCTTCCTTCCCCTTTTGAGGCACCTGTCACCACCCTGCTCCACCAAGGGACCATAGTGGGAACAAACCCTGCATTATCTTTAGCACACTGCTGGCAGCTGAGGCTTTGTATATTTTCTCCCCCCCCCCCCACACACACCTGTGTAAAGACCTGTCAGTCTGTTTCTTTATTGAGACCAGGTGGCTGAGGCAATATATTTTATTGGACCAACTTCTCAAATGTCCAGGGACCAACACAGCGATAGCTCGCTGTTCTTGTATTGCTCCAGCTGATCAGTGTCCCTCCGAAGAGATGTCCTCCGCCTGTGCCCAGTGTTGCTCAATGACCCCATCAGGAGTTTTACTTGGTTGTGGAGAGCTAAGACTGTGGAGGGAAAGGTTACTTTGTGCGAATGAATACTGCCCTTTATTTGGCTTGTCTAGTAAACCAGACTAGAAATGCTTCTGTATAGGATTCCAAGTATTTCTAGGATAAGAGGATCTTATCACAAGTATCCTGTACGTGTGGAGAAACATCTGTTGGGATGGTATCCAATTAGACTCTGGAACTAATTGGAATAACTTAAACCGGAAACCTGGAATTCATTGTTGGTCATTAAAACAGTGAATCGCTTGCTTCACTGCATACCTGCGGCATATATTAACTACTGCATGGTGTGAAGTGTTTGCAACCTACAAATGCATTGATAGTCGTAAGTTTATATTTTAGAATTCCTTATCACAAATACACTTGCTCCTGAGGGGGAAATCATTTCTAATAACTTCATTTATTTCCTTAAACCGCACACATTACCATTCATTTATCTCCTTTCCTGATCAACATCCTTCACTTAGCTTAGATCTGGCTGGGGATTTCTCTTTTCCACCCACCAGCCAGCCAAATCAGCTTATTTTGATGTTCGATTGGGAGTATTAAGCAGCAACCAGCTCAAATTTCCAATGTAAAATGAAAGCCTCTTGCTCTGTATAAGGCGTAGGAGGGTTGTGGTTCTACTTCAAAGAAGGAGGGGGAAGCCCTCTTTGAATTTCTAAAACAGTGTTTCTTCTACTGATTGCTCATAATCTCCCAGGCATATGTTTGCTTTCATTTTAAACAGAGATTTCAGCTGAAAGTAAGCTGGCCATAGTTAAATTTGATATCAAAGGGGGAAAACTATTGAACAGCTCCTCTAGGAGGAGGGGTGAGAGAGGACTCGGTGGAATTCCATGGCCCCATGTCAAATAGGAAAACTTGAGCATGCCAATATCAGAAGTGCTCATTTCTTAGGTACACAGGTTGCTGATCAGCTCTTTTGTGTCCCATTGACATTAAAGAGTCAGCCAAGTTCTGAGCTCAATGTTTTGCAGCTGCCTATTCAGGGGGCAAAGGAGAAGTACCTGCAGCCTTTTATGGGAGCAGATATGAAAGTTCCAGGCATTTAAAAAGGGAATGGGAGACTGATCAAATAGGGCAGAAAGGAAGGGAAAACAATTTCTCCTCCTCCTAAAACTATTCTAATCCAATGTTTGAGACATTGATGCATACTGTTTTTCATTTGGGACAGTTGAGGGAAAAATCTATTCCATGTTTTAAAAAGTCTGTTTCCCCTAATCAAATCTCTTCTAAATGGGCAGGGAGGAAACTTGCTTTCCTTCTACTGCATTGGAATAATGTGTTGAGACTCATGCAGTCCATCCAGAAACACGCTGACCCCTCTCTTGAGTTAAATATATATCTAACCATAAATGTTACTCATAATGACATCTCCCATAAATACTGTAGCCCTGATAGCAAACAAACTTAAGCATTTGTTTTATCAAGGTTTCAACATGTGTATTTGAGCCTATCAGTGTGGCATGTAGGTACTGACTTTGTTCACTGGAATTTCTAACCCTCCCCCCGGGAATGAAACTTGGAAGTGCAACTTTTGTTATGGGCTAAGCAAAGGGCTTTATTTTTATTTAATGTCGCTATAGCGACATTAATGAAGATATCTTTTAAATCTAGGTCTGAGTACTTTCAATTCCAAAATGGAAATGAAAGTAATCTTGTCAGCTATTTCCTGGCTTGCTATATTTCAGTATTTAAGAACTTAATGGCCAAGCTGACACTCACATGTGCTAGTACTTGCGTCAACAAATCACCATATGTTTTTACAGTACTACAGATGGCACTACTGGTAAACTCAATTATCCAAAAGTCTCAAATGACATTAAAAATCTTCAGATTTGTTGGAATTCCAACTAAAACAAATTTTGGGAGCTAATCAAAATTTTGATTCAGGGGATAAACTAATTTTGTATAATTTGTTTGATTTTTACCTGTATTAAGAGGTGATATTGTACCAGAATTCATTAAATGTAAACTAAAAGCTATGATCATATACAAATAATAGTAGGTAAATAATAACACAGAAATTTTAAATTGTGGCCTATTTCTGCAAACCCGTGACTCATAACTAGTCTTTAAATGTGAAAGAAAAACCCATTGAAGTCAGACTACTAGCTTGATTAAAGACCAACCATGTACATAAGTTTATTATTATTTTAAACAGCACTGGCCCTTTTTAAGTTTAAAAACCATCCTTAACCACTCAAATTCTATCTAGATGTTAGTTGCTGGTTTTGCCTGATGTAAGCCTTGCCTACACTAGGTAAACTTACATATATGCATCCGAAGAAGTGGGCTGTAGTCCACGAAAGCTTATGCTGTAATAAATTTGTTAGTCTCTAAGGTGCCACAAGTACTCCTGTTCTTTTTATGGTGACCCAGCTTCCACAGAAATTGTGAAAGCACCATTGGGAGACCTCATGTGGGCAAGAATCCCTCAGCCAGACCCACTATTATTGCGTCAATTAAATTTCCTTTAATTTAAAAAGGTGGTAAAATGGGGTTTGGCTCTGGGACCCATGTAGCTCTAGAGGGAACCCTAGTGTGACTACTTGTTTGGCAAAAGTGAGGCTAACAGTGATGGGGAAAGGGAACAGTTTTGGCAAGCTTTTCCACTGTAGATGTGACATAAATGTCAGTAATTTCTCAGTAGTAACCACTATAGTCAGAGGTTTCATAATAACTTCATATTTTTCAAGATTGTAGCTTTCTGAAACTGTCCTCCTGGGGATGAAATTTCCTGAGCTTGATCTTTGTCTGAAGGTGAAATTTTTTGAGGGCAGGTTACCAAAATAGCCTCTGTTGTGTTTGAGGAAAGTGCAGGTGAAAACACTTTGTTGCACTTAAATTTAACTCTGATCTCATACAGAGCTACATTTTTAAAAAAGACTAAGGGCATGTCTACACTTATCAGTAGATTGGTACTGCTGCAATCAATGCAGCGAGTGTTGATTTAATGGGTCTGAAGACAAGCTAAATCAATGGGAGAGCACTCTCCCATCGATTTGTGTACTCCACTTCCCCGAGAAGCATAAGGTGTAGCCACCACGGTAAGTGGATCCAACTACGCCGACTTCAGGTACGTTATTCACTTAACTGAAGTTGCATAAGTTAGATCGATTTACCACGGAACTGGAGACCAGCCCTAAGTTTGAAACAACATTTGACAAGTGCTGCTCCTTCTAGCTTTTGAAAAAAGCTGTTCAGTGGCAACTGTCAAATAGACTTTTGTGTAATAAAAGGGTAGAAGATGAATAGCAATTGAGTTGTATTGCACATGGAGGGAATAATGAGTTTCTTTCCTTTCTGTTTCATGATGGAAGTGTGCGTATAGCTCCAAGAGCTCATGTAAATTCCACCGTATCAGTAAAATCTTATCTCCTGGATAAGCTTGTACAGTTTGCTTTAGTATTCCTCCTTTTAAAAAAAAAATACAAACCAAAACTATGATGTCTTGATGATGCAAAATATTGATTATTTCTAATCTTTTTTTTTCTTTTTCCATAGGAATTTATCAGAGAACTGCTAACTCGGATAAGAGGGATGAGAAAGCTAAGCCCCCCTCAAAAGAAGAGTATATAACTACTCAAATAGTAGCACTCCTACAAGAAACCTAGCAAGGGAAATGGGACTTTGACTACAAGACCTTTATTAAAATAGAATTGTCTTTCCGAGCAACTTTTGTTTGGTTTGGTTCAGTTTTGACATTTACTCAAGGGAGTCCTATTTCATGTGCTTTTAAGGGTTTTCTTAAGTGTCAATTTTTTTATCAAGGATACCAACATTTTTGGATGCTGCTCAACTATCCTACTAAAGGATTATTGAACCAGGTGAAGAACCCAGGCATTAGTGACCACGCCATAGCAATGAAGGGCAGCAATCCCACATGGTGAATCAGAAGAGCATGTAAACTTGCAGAGCTAGAAGAATTGCCTTTTTATTTTCCCCTAGCGACTAGTTGGATAACATTTTTAGTTGGTTGTACATTTAACTCATGGATGTCAAGTTTCTTGTGCTTGTATGTACATAAGTTGTAAAGTGGGGGTGTGAATACTGTTTCACGTGGCCGGAAGGGGAGTTGTTACAGTAAACTATTTAAATGGTGGCTGAAGCAAACGTGTTACCAGAGGGCAACCGTTTAGATTACCAAAATGAGTGCTGCCATTTTATAAATCCATTTTAAAGCACCGAGGTGAAGAATTTCAGCATATCTTCTCATACAAAAAGCAACATATGAGAACTGGGGAGTTTCTTAAGGGCTTAATTTGTAGACTTCTAATTGTTTTATTGACTTTGATGCTTTGCCAGATCATTTCCTCTTCACCTCACGGTGTGTTAGAGTTGTATTAATCTACTGTATAAGAGCCTGACGTGATACCTTGAGAAATGTCAATCACCATCTAAAAAATGTTTCACAGTGTGGGGGAAAGAAGTGCTACCAGAACAAACTAAAAGCACTGTTTTGCATTGGAGGTTTTAATGTAGATCCCCCTCTCAATAAGGAACAGTGTAGCATTTGTTTATAGCTCTGTCCCCAGAACTAAGGGGGACTTGTTAGTTATGGGTCCTCCTTTCTTGTGAAAGCAAGAATGGAATACTTTCAGTGGATCCCTGACACTTCTTAATTAAGGACATTTTCCAGATGTTCCGTAAACTACCATATGCCAGTAGATGAAGTTAGTCAGGCATTTTATATCAAAGGTGCTCTGAACATATTTTTATTTTTAAAAATAAGAAATACATGTTTGTGAATTTTATGTATGCTGGCAAGCTTTTTTAAATGTATTTAATTTTGTAATGTTTATCAATGATTTTATTTACCAGATATTTACTCAAATAAATGGAACAACTTGTGACTCTTGTTACATCTACACTTCCCAAAGCTACTAGTGCCTATATTCAATGATAGTTATACAGATGTATACGCAGAAGGAACAAGTTGGTCAATACATGTCAGTCCAGCTTAGGCTGGCCTAATACCCTGGCTTGGTGGGGGGTTGGAGGGGGGAGTTGCTATGAAGAAATTGTTATCTGGAGAATTCCCTTTCTTTTAAAAGTCATCTGAAAGGGAGGAATTTTTTTAAAATTATTTTATTTAGTTATTTGCTGCTCTATAATGGATAGAGCCTGAAAACTGCTTTCAAAAAAACCTGCCCTGTTTATTTTTTACACTAGAATATTAGGAATATGAAACTTTCTTTTCCTGATGTGCTTTGGATGACTAGGGTTACCATACATCCTCTTTTT